TCTCTTTATTTAATTTCATTAATTTTTCTAAACTAGTTAATTGTATTTATATTAAAGACATGAGGTAATAATTTTTTTTTATTTCATGTCATTAAGCGCAAATTGGTGATTTTATAGTTTTAGGAAAATTTCCCTTGAATTATTTTTTCCATTTTAAGTCACTAAGGACATTTACTCATTTTACACTCAAACATTATCCATGCAAAGACATCTTAAACAAATTTCACAGAGCGGGCAATTAACTCTTTAATGGGATTTTCCAGGCTCCAGGAACCTGATATTTTTCGGATTTATTTTATTTTAAATCACGCAAATCTATATTTTATATCAATAATAGTGGGTAACGATAACGGATCCGCCCTATCCGGTAAAGGTTCGGATCTTTTATCACCTCCCACGCGCTTCGTTTAGCGCGTGAAAGAAGCCGGGGATAACGCGCTCCAGAACTGTAGTCGCCGTATTCGCATGCGAGCGAGAACTTGATCTGTTATCCAGACCGTCATGTGCATCTCTGATAAATCCATATATCAACGATGTCCTCCCTCCTTCTGTTTCTGATCTTACTGCAACTCGGATCTTCGATCGGTTGACTCGTCATCTGTTCCCTCTTGACAAATTTGGGTTCCTCTCCTCGATTCGAGCTGGTAAATCGGTGATTTGCTTCTTTTTTCTCATCCTTATTCAATGCTTTGTTTAGATCTGTACTTTTCTCTCCCCCCTTTTGTCCTCTCTTCAGATGTGAATATCTGTGCGGTAACTCTTAACGGTTGGTGTAATTGGATTTAAGGTTACAATATGGATTCGATGGACATCGTGGGGAAATCAAAGGAAGACGCTTCCCTTCCTAAAGGTAATTTTACCCTATTTTGTGAATTTTATTTGTTGTTGATCTAAATTGTTCTTCCCTAACTTAACATTGAAATTGTTTGGATGGACAAGATGACTTTGAGATTGGAAAATTGATTATTTTAGAAACACAATCATTTGGGCTTATGCGCAAGAACCTGTTCGCCCGATATTACTTTGAATTAACCTGCTCCACTAACTCCAGAAGATCCAGATGACTGAATTTAAAAATCAAGATATTCCATATACATCTATATTTCTGAGACATCTTTATGATACTTTTAATTTTAAATTGAAATTCAAAATCGTTGATTTTGTTTTGCCGGAATAACCGAATGTGGCCTTACTTAAACTGGATGTTAAGAGAGAGCATAAATGGCGAACTTTTATTTCTGGTTAACGAGTTGACATCAACAAGCCAATACTTAGCTGGATTTATATTTCTTACTTTGAACTAGGATCTTGTACTGTTGATGTTTCGCTTTTTCCTGACTATTACTAACTACTGTTTAGGTTATTGCTGCTAATGATGGTGGTGTCTGGTTTCTTTAATTTTGATGGGACCTAAGGCCCGAATGATTTCCTTTGTAAGTTTATCGTTAATGCCTCGTGGCTTTGCTCACTTGCCGAAACAATTTTTTTTCCCCGCAGCAACTATGACAAAAATTATTAAAGAGATGCTACCCCTGATGTACGTGTCGCAAGAGATGCACAAGATCTATTGATTGAATGCTGTGTAGGTGAGAAGTGTTATGTAACTTTTGGTGATTTCATTATCAAACAAAATCTTTATTAACCCAGGGACTCCCTACACTTCCTTATTTCATTTTCTTTCCCTTGATTGCTTCTTAAATTTTAGCTGTTACTTCCTTTTTTCGTTAATGAAGCTGTTACTTCTGCTTTATTTGTTCGACCTATATTTTGATGATTTTCTCTATCACGTGTTACTCATGATTGTCGAAGGCAAATTTTAGCAGATATTTTGGGAGCATTAGTTGATGAACTTCTTATTCTTAATTTGGTCATGAATATGCAAAATTCCCATCATGTTATTCGTTTGTGAGTTTTTGTCGGGTGCCTACTTTGTAAATTTAGTAAACACTCTTTTAACTCTGCTGTCTTATGTATTACAAATACGAACATGTTGAAGTTATTCTCATGCTGTCTTCTCTTTCTTCTTAGCACTTCCATGCTTATCGACTTTAAAAAAAATGTTGCGTTGCTTGAATTCTCTTTTAGGTTTCAATTTTATTACTGAATATGATTTTGTCGGTTGATCTATATTTTTGTAGAGTTCATAAACCTGTATCATCAGAGTCCAATGAAGTCTGTAATAGAGAGGATAAACGGACAATTGCACCAGAGCATGTATTGAAGGCTTTACAGGTTACTTATCTGCCTAACGCATTGCTCAAGCCATGTGTGTTTCTGCTTTGATTTATATCCTAGTGTATCCTGTTGTTCTGTTTATGCCTATGTATCTTTTTTAAAGTGACCGTGTTGGTTTTTATATTTCTTTCTCTTTGTTGTGGTTCTGTGGCAAATGGCAGCCAATTTTTACTTTTCTCAAGGATAAATGTATCCTGTGCTGTCATTTGGCTTCTGAATATACTTTATCATGTTATTAACGTTTATAGAAGTGGCTTTCCGTTTTGTTTGTAATGGTTGATATTTGGTGAAGATTGGTTAGATTATATATTTACTGACGCGGCTGAAACATTTTTTATTGACTTACACCTGCTCTATTCAGGTTCTTGGATTTAGTGAGTACATTGAGGAAGTTTACGCAGCATATGAGCAGCATAGGATCGAGACCATGGTATTTTGTTTCCTTTCAATGCTCCTGCTTCTTCTGAATTGTTAGAATGATATAATTGACTTTTCAATAGTATATCTTTTTTGATTGCCCCCGCTCTTTCTTTGTGGGTGAGCTTTGTTATCAAAAGACCATGAAAATCTGGAGTTGGCCTTGTTCATACCATCCTAATGGAAGCGGAATTTGTATTATCAAATCCGGGTCCACCTAGGGTGATTATCTTAAGGGGGCACTCGCAGCCTGGTGGACGGTTCCCTAAAGAAGGGCCCCAGCCATTCAAAGCGGGGCTGACATCTAGGATTTTCCACAGGTTATTTCGGTATGATACCTGAGATCACTGCACACGCATTGTTTGGCTGCAAAAATCAATCAATCTCACCCATGAAATCTCTAGTAATCTTTATGGTCCACCTATGCATGCGGCCGTAGCTATATTTGAAAAAGAAAAAGAAAAAGAAAAACCTTAAACTAGATGCTATTTAAATTTTTAAATTGAATCGAGTGTTCTGTGCTTGCGACATCAGTATGATGTTTGGTCGATTAGTGGTCTGAATTTCATGACAAGAATGCTCAGAGTTTCTATCCATAGCTTGTTTTCCTTCTATACGTCACTACTGGTCCCTATGGGAGGTGGGGGAAGGACACGTTTAATACTGGCCAGTTAAAATGGAAAAGTTAATTATGGACCACTGTTTTTGCTTGCGTTTTAACTTGAAAGGAAAATAAAATTATTTTATTGATTTTGGTTGCCTTACGCAGCAGGACTCTTTAAGAGCTGGCAAGTTGAGTAATGGAGCCGATATGACTGAGGAGGAAGCATTGCTGGAGCAGCAAAGGATGTTTGCAGAGGCGCGTGCTAGGATGAACGGTGGGGCCGTTGCTTCCAAGCAGCCAGATGCTGACCAAACTTTAGATAGCTAACTTTTATCAGGATAAATTTATTTTTCTTCAAGTATAGGCAAAGCATATCTCTGCTTCTCAGTAGTTCCACTATGTACAAAAAAACGTGTGCTAACTCGCCTGCCCTAGGCAGATGTGCTAGTTATTTGAACCCTATGAAACCGTATATTTGGAAGCTAACGTAAGTAGTGAGGGTTCATGAAAACCCACCTTTATTGATTATTACGTGTGACTATTCTGCTTCATCTCTTGCATCCTCTCACCTATCAACAACATCAGCTTGACACAATTAGATGATTTGGGGCTTATTTGGGAAGGTTTAAAAAATCCCCTATAAGCACATTTCACGCAAATTAAGACAAAACTCCTCTCACATACTGGCCTCGTATTCTGTAAATTATTATTGAAAAGTTATTTACAAGCTATTTATAAGGTGTTCCAAACGGGCTTTTAATACATTCTGACGACCGGGTTCTGTTATTAAAATTGATGATTGTAGGATTTGGGGGAAGCGATTGGATATTTGGATTAATGTTTGTAAAATTGAGGTTATGAACCAATTAGAGTTTATGAACAAATTGAAGTTATGAACTCGTAGTTTTAAACACGGTTGAGTGAAAAAGTAATCTAAACATGGAGCCTACTATCCCAACTATTTTCCAGCCCCTCAAATATTGGTAGGCTGATCCAAACAAGAAAGAAGCAAATGATATTTAGTGCCTCAAGAGCCTCTAATGGCTGCTAAGAGTCCTCCACATTAATGGGTATAGAGTCAATTGCTCAACTTACGAAACGCACTCAATAGGACTGAGCCAGTTAAACACATTATTAGCTCGAGGGATTAGTGCCGAGTAAGTAAATAGAAGAGAGAACTGGTGGTGGGGGCCCATGAATGAGCAATGAAATACACTGGGGCTGTCAGTTCGTAGGTAGGTGCAATGTAGACTCTGCATCCAACATATTCCATGGGACTCACAATTGGATGATGTCATGAGGGTGCACGTCCAGCACTAGAAGACATGATGCAGGAGGATATGTGAGGGCATGTCGAGTTTCAATAGTGATGGCTTTGTATTTTGTTTGTTTTGGCTTTTATTTTTTTTATATATTTTTTTACCGTTTTGGATGTCAAGTCAAAAGAGATAGTCAAGCACAATCCTTCTCTCTCTGCCCCACAAGAAAGTGAAACAACAAACACATTGTCTCCTTAGATTCCTTTCTTTTTTTTCTATTTGAAATGCACTCTATCCCACCCCTCCATCGCTCTGTGTCTGATTTCCTATATCAGCTGGTGGGACTGCCCATGTTTCTTTTGTCAGGATTCTCTTGCATTTACACCAAAGGTCTAGAAACAGAGAATTAATTAAAGCACCCTCCATATCAATAAAAGCAGAAGAAACCAGATTCTTTCCCCACCCTTTCATATATTTAATAGGAGTTTTTTTCTTTTCTTTCTCAGATGAAGACAGACATGGCTGCTAGAACGTCCCAAGATTTCTCCTCCAAGAGGCACTTCCACTGGACAAAAAAGGTCGGTGATGAAGAATCTGAAGCTCCCACTTCAGAATCAATCTTAAAAATGATTGAGGAAGAGGAAATCAAGGAGGATAATGACAAGAATCCAGGATCAGCAGCTACATCACAACAAGCGGCAGCATCAAGACGGAAGCTTCAAGCCATTGCAATCTCAAGGCTTCGATCCATTCTCACCAAGTTTGGTAAGAACCGTTCGAGCCTGCCCTTTGGCCTAGGTCCCAGAGTTGTAGGAACCCTCTTCGGCTATCGACGTGGCCATGTACATTTCGCATTCCAAAAGGAACCCACTTCACAGCCAGCCTTCTTGATCGAGCTTGCCACACCAATTAGTGGTCTTGTTCGTGAAATGGCATCTGGGTTAGTTCGAATCGCTCTGGAATGTGACAAGGAGAAGAAGGAAGAAGGGAAGAAAGCTGGGAGATTGCTTGAAGAACCAGTATGGAGGACGTACTGTAATGGGAAGAAATGTGGGTTTGCTACAAGAAGAGAATGTGGACCAAAGGAATGGGATATACTGAAAGCTGTGGAGAAAATTTCAATGGGTGCTGGTGTTTTGCCTGCTGAATCTGGATCTGATGCTGCTGGTGAAGGTGAAGTCATGTACATGAGGGCTAAGTTTGAGAGAATTGTGGGGTCCAGAGATTCTGAAGCTTTCTACATGATGAATCCAGACAGCAATGGATCTCCTGAGCTCAGCATATACTTGCTCAGAGTCTAGCATCAATGGAAGCTCTGTTTTAGCCACTTAGTTAATTTCCCCTTTTTTTGAAACACCAAGCATCCATGGAGGCCTAGTCTTCTCCAAGTTCCTTTTTTTTTTTTTTTTTAGCCCTTCTCTTCTATCTCTCTGTTTTTATTTTTCCTTTCTTAGATTAGTATGAGAAGTGGACTTACTGTGTCGGAAGGGGGGTGGAAAATGGTGGATGATTAGTATACTTTACAGCATGGTGATGTGGGTCATGAAAGGGTGTCTATGTATAGTTTCTTCTTTCCCAATCCTTTTTCAATTAGTGATCAGACAAAAAAAGTCGTTGCAAATCATTAATGTCTTCACATTGTTATTTGTTTCATTAACTTTATCAACTTCATTATTCCATGTCATGTTATGCCTTCTCTGCACTTTACACCGTTTCTTCCCTCTATATGCATACACATTCAGATTTATATCCATATGATCATATTGAAAATAATTCATATAACAATTTATCAATTAAATCACCTTTTATTCTCTCTCTTTCTTCTTTATCTGTTGGATATGATAGCTTCATTATTACTTTTGTGATGCATTTGTTTTCCTGTTCAGTATCAGAGCATCTTTATCTACCTATAATCCAAAATATTTCTGTATTTTGGTCTAAAAAGCTAAGGACTGTTCTAATCATGGCTTTTGATGCCAATTTTGTTTGTGAAATGATCCCAACAATTTTTTCTTTGTTAATCCTGATCATAGAAGTCATCAAAAGCAATATATATTAGAAAAATGAAAAGAAAACAAAATTGGAAATTTCATATCCTGACATGTGATGGCAGACCCCATCTTTGCCTTCCTTTTTCTTTTTGTTTATACACTTGGCCATCAGCTTTTCCTTTTGTTGACTGCTTTTTATTAGTTTTCTTTCTTTCTTTTTTTCTGTTTTGGTCTAATTAATTAATTGGCATTGTTCAAATTTGTATTCTTCTCATCAATCGATTACTCATTGTAGTCTGTGCGGCTAGAGCTGCAAAGTGTAAAAACTATATAGCCCACCAACGTTATATAACAAAGATGTCCAAAAATAAAGAAAATCCCTTTAACTTGATAATATGGTCATAATTATGTTCACCCTTTTCTCTTCAGGTATCCTAGTTTTCAGGCTTTCCAATGTTAGTGATATTAGAATATAGTATTTAAATTAAGTGAATGATGAATTTATAATATATTAACTGACTGGGCTCGCATTTAGAAATATTTTCTACTTATTTATATACTTTATTTATCATTTTAAAATGTCTTTTCTGAGATTTCTAGAGCCATGTGATAATATCACTTTGGGTGATATTTCATGCCATTCACAAAACAATAAAAAACTGATATTCTTTGAAAAAAAAGAAAAGCATAACCTTGTGAAGTTTATGTAGAAGAATATCAAGTATAGTATTCCTCCAGTCCTAAATATAAGACCTATTTTATAATGTACTCTTCCGGTTCTAAATATAAAACCCATTTTGTAGTGTAAATTCTAAATATAAGACCTATTTTATAGTGTAAATTACACTATAAATAGGTTTTATATTTATGATTGGAGGAATATTTATTTGGCAGCCACTTCTAAGGAAAAGACTCCGGGAGGAGCTGTAAGGAAAATGACAATCAAATTATTTTTTTAATTTTTTTATGTGAGAAATTTTAATGGTGATATATGAGATATTATCATATGAAGCAATTTCTTAACTTGATATGACTGTGAGTAGGGTTACATAAATTTTTTCCCCTCACATTAGTACCATTCTAAAAGCTTTAATTTGACGAGAATAAAAGGGAGGAAAGGCGTGGCTTACAGCTGGGGAAAGTAATTAAGAATTAATTAAATTAAACAAATTATCATGATCTCCTCATCATTGTTCAAGAGAATCAAAAGTTCAAAGCTTCAAATAAAGTTTGGACAGTGCTTTATTACACAGTTGACGCTTTAATTAGTGCACTTATACGCCCCCAGCCCACCACTGGGAAAAGATCAACCACGAAGAAATTAGAAGAATTAATTAAGGTTGTCCTTCCTAAATATTGTCGTCCAACATTGCAAAAGTCTAACGTAGAGGGTGTTTAAATAAAAACTAAATCATAATTTTAAAAATATTTTTATGATTTATAAAGTAAATATATGAAAGAGTTTGTCTCGTTTGTGAAAAAAATGCTTTTTAAAAACATTTTTAGAGTTGCGAAACACCTTAATAGTTTTAAGCTTCGTACTATAAAATGTTTTCTTAAAAAAAAGAAAAAGAAGAAGAAGATCGTAGGGTCCATATATACTTGGTGGCTAAGTGCCTGACCTTGAGAAATAAATAGACCAGTAAAAGCATGCGTGACCACCATCGTGGGTGGACCTCGATAACAAGCTATCGGCTGGTTACCTATTTCTTTTCTCTCTTCTTCTTCAATTAGAGATGGCATTTCTTAAGCTATATTGGTTGGTCCCTTGGATAATGGCATGATTCCAAAGTCATAAACACTTTTGGTATAAAATATTGACAGTTAAAATAATGATGATAGGAGTAAAATTATTATGATTTTAAACTTTCAAAATAAATATGCAAAAAAAAAAAAAGCTTTCAAGTTTGGATGAAAATTTCTAAAGCAAATTTACACTTTAAATCAATTGTCTTATAATTCAAACTTGTTACTGGAACTTTTTTTAATTTTTCATGGATTGAAAATCGGAAGTCCTTATTAGTTAATTGAAGTCCAAATTTGTGAATTTTGCCCTAAGAAAAACAGAAAGTGTAACTTTGACCCAATAAATAAATAAATAAAGTTCAAGAGGGGAGCTTGGCCATATATTATAAATAAAGCAGGCCCCTTCCGAATGCAGTGAGGAATTTGTAATGAGTGATCCGATGAAAACAAAAATGTCATCTTCAAATTGGTGCTTATGAATAGGGTTCAATACTTGATAATTATGGCAAAAGCAGCTGAGGCAGAGGGGCCTATCTTATAGCTTATTTCTCGGATTCAAAAGACCTGTTTTTCATTACAATTAAAAATCTGGAAAAAAATGTTGAGTCAGTTGAGCACCACATGATTACAAAACATAATGGACCGAATATATATATATATATATATATATATATTGAACCAGGTGTATCACTTGATTATGAAACATTGTGGAAAGATATTGAATTGATGTTTGCTGTGTGCATTCTTTCTCTATAAATTACACTATTCAAATTGTCTATAAATCAAATTAAAAGGTGCTTTTTAGTTTTAGATTTTGAATTAAAATATAATTTTTTAAACACATTAGAAGGGTTTAAATACTCAACCTCTCATCCTTTTCCCATCGTTTCCATCCAAGCGAGCCTTTCAAGCGGCTATAATATTAAGTTGTGTTTTTATTAAATTTATTTAGCTCTTTTTTTAAAAAAAAAAATCATCTTCTTATTAGAAGCAATTATATTTAAAATACTGGCAGATACTAAATATAAACGTTATGTAGTAAATAAGAGTTTAGACTTTAGACATTGGGCTTGCATCTACCAGATGGCTGTGTGTTAAGTTATTTATTTATTTATTTAGAGTGCGTATATCCCCCCCTTCAGTGAATGCATTAAGCCATTTTTATCCGGTTAGGGCGAGTTTAGATATTGGGCCTGAACCCACAAGATCAGTATGCATCTGTCTGTATATTAAGATTTTCTTTTTTCTCTAATGAATGTATTAACCGGTTTTTGTTTATCTAGTAGAAGTTAAGCTATTGGGCCTGCACCCACAAGATTGAGCCGAATCAGGCTCGTTTGTATTATAAATCAGACCACCACCATTAACACCCAAGCATCCACGGCATTGTTCCAACAAAAAAAAAAAAGTTGGCAACCAGAAAAATAAAAATAAAAAGTATCCACCACGTAGCCTCTTGTTTCCCACAAATCTCAATGTTTGCTAATTTTCAGACGCCAAAAGAACTGCACTCTAGGTGCCAAAGCGTAGTATAATTGACTATTTGTCTTAGTCAACGATATCAAAAGCCTGTTTTGAGACATCGGGGAGATAAATTAACATCTCAAGTCAAATCCCGAAAAGAATCAAATGAATGTATACATATAATCAACCATTTTTGGAGATTTCTCCGAGAATAGTACAGGGCAAGTGAAACATATAAGTGAAACCTTTGTTCTAGAGCTAATTTCCGTCTATCCTAAATGATACAAGCATCCATCACGTGAACACTAGCTTGTTCGTGCAATCTGAGAATCCTCATCTATTCACCTTCTGGGCTTCTGTCTTTGCAATTCGTCTTTTGCTTAAATATTAGCCTTTTGACGAGAGAAACCCGGCTGCGTAATGTAATCGACGACATTTGTTCCCAGCATCAACACAAAACCAGAAACATTGGATTAAGGAACATGTATCAGTTTCGTGATGCGAAACTCATGCGATTATGCATAGAGAATCAAATTCCTGTCACGATAAATGAATGTGCTCAGAGACGGAAAGAATCAATTTACCTGAAGAAGCATGGAAGGAGCAGCAATAGGTTCAATGGCAACATGGCTTCGTGTCTTTCTTCCTTTCAACGTAGTAACTGATGGACTGTTAGCAGCAGTTATGTCCCAAAAGCTTCGTTTCTTTGCAGGCGGGGCAGGAGACTTGAATCGATGACTCGGACTCTTGAGCTCTCCAGTATTTGTTTCCTTGGACCGTAAGCTACTCCTAGTCACCATCCTCTTCCCCTCCGCTTTCTGAGAAAGCTCGCGAATCAGATCATCCTTCTGCTTCAGCTGCAAACTATGTTCTTTCTTCATTCTCTCAATCTCAGACTCTAGTGTTTTTACAGTCCTTTCAAGCGCCTTTACAGCTGCTACCTCAGCTTCTTTTTTCTTGGACTCTGGAGTGAAACATTTAGCAGAAAACAAAGAGGTTGTTCGGGGCCTTCGTTTCTGGGTTGGTTGCGCAGAAGTTGGGGGAGTGAAGAGTGATGATGTCGCAGAAGGTGGTGTTGGAGAGGTATTTGCAGCTAAAGACTGTGCTTGGAGAATCATTTGTTTCTGTTGGAGTTTTGCTAGCTGCATTCTTAGTTCTCTATTCTCTTTTTGCAGCTCAAGCACAAGCTTGGCCTGCTCTGTTTCTGTCTCGACCATAGGCACTGTATCCTCAGTTGCATCACATGTCTGCGTTAATTTAATCATATGATAGTTAAAAGATCGTTAAAATTACAGATAACTATATATACAGAACCAGAAGAACTTAAGAAGGTACCTTTGTTCGAATCTCCTTGGCTCTATCAGCCCAGTGAAGGGTGTTCTGAGTTTCACCAAATGAGAAGTGACTAGGACTAATGTTAGCAATCATGACAGTGTTACATGTCCCTCCTAAAGAATCCTTAAGAAGCTGCGTGAGTTTTGAGTTTCGGAATGGTATATGTTTCTTGCCCTCTACTAGAGCATTAATGCAGCTGCTCAGTGCAAGAAGAGAACGATTAATGTTTGCACCCTCAAGAGATCTCACTGTTCTTTGATCTGTGGCAAGGGCTCTCTCTGATCCTGCCAGATCAATCAAAGACAGCTTCCCTACTTTGTTAATCACATTCATTTCAGCATCTCTAACACGATATTCGACCATAACCTAGGCATAGCAAGACAATCAATGTGGTTAATCATGACCCGACATATATATATAAATACATCTTTTCATCTTTTTTAAGATAACTTCATTGTACATGTTCATACTCACCTGCAAGATAGCATGAGAGCGTGAAGAAGTCTCATTTGCGCGAGTTGGTTCAGTGGTTCGGTTCTGATTTCCTTGTTGAAGCAACGCCATCACCTAAACCAAAAACTGAAGTTAACAAAAGTTGATGACTAAATGTTCAAATAGCAATACAATCCTCAAAGTTTAACAAGAGAGAGAGAACAGAATATTACTTCATCTGTAGAATAAGCCCTATATTGCGTAAGACCTGCTGCCACAATCCCCTGAAACATATGGATATAAATGAGAATGTATCATCAGAAATCGATTAAGAGTATAAAATTCACTAGAAATACAATGAAAAGTGAACTCAGGAGAGATCATTTATCAGTGATTTCATTTGCTATATACCTGTTTGTCTTCTCTCAATACAAGTGGTCTTCCTGGGGAAAGCAAATCCCTGACAGTTTCATTATAGACCTCAAGATAAGAGAGATGAACCTCATGGTTTCCATCACAACTTCTTTGCCTGATTTTACTGAAAAGATCTTTAATTGCCAAAACCATCACTCCTGGATTCTCCACTGTTCCCAGCATTGTGTAGGTTTTTCCAGCTCCTGTGGCTCCATAACAGAAAACTGACCCATTCCTCCCTTGCAGAACTGCTTCCACAAGTTCTGAGGTACTGAAAATTCATAAAGTCGGATGTAAATATTTGATAGAACCACAAGATTTTCAATGCATGGCGTAATATGTTAGTTCTTAATTGACCTGGTTAATTAAAACCTCAGTCACTTCTAATTTGGTCAGCTATGTCCCTTAATCCATTATTTGAGACGAGAAAAAATGTTAAATTTCGACACCGTTCCTGTTTTGTAGTTAAGAAACTAAATATAATCCGAGAAAACTAGGCAAGAAAATGAAGAATTGGATGTGAACTACTTATGCGAAAATTCATCTCCAGGCAATAATCCTGCTCATTACTATAAAAGCAGAGTGGGTTGTGGACTTATAGCTTAAAGATAAGATTTTTGAATTTCAAAATTTCAAAAAACTCACGTGGTGGAGTAAACTTCCTGTTGAGTAGCCACATCTGGAAACGAAGCATCGAAGGTGAAATGCCGTCCCCGAAGCCTATTCAACCTCAGGTAATCGTTCTCATTCGCAAACTCCGTCAGATAAACGTCACGCCGATTCACGATTTTCACACAGCACCGAGACCCGGCTTCCTTCTCCTTCCTCCCCATTGGTCTCAGCCTCACAAAAACAAGAATTCGATTCCCGGATTTCCCAGCTTTCTCGGATTCTTGGTTCCCTTTCATTTCCGGCAGTGCCGTCCCGATCGAAAGCTTCCGAGCGACGTTGACCTTTCTGGGGCAGGTAAACCCGATGATCCGGTCGCTCCCTCCAACCAGATTTTCCTTCGACTCCTCCTCCGCTGGCGGTTGAGCCAGCACGAACGTTCTTGTGATTGTTGAATTTGGCATTGTGTTCTCTCGCATTACATTGTCTGGCTTTAAACCCTTTTCCCTGTCTTTTTTCGTTGAAGATCCACCTCCAGGGAAGGTGGTGAATCGTGAGTCTTCGGGTTTCAAAGATGAGTTCTTGAGAGCCAAGGAAGTTTGCTTCTGCTGCTCGTACAAGACAGTGAGCGCTTTCAACTTCTCCTTCAGTCGATGGTGTGGATTTTTTGAATGAGGATTTGTGCTGTTACCGTCTTGATTTCCTCTATTTCCGATTCTCCGTTCTGGGGTTGGCTCATTTTGGCCCAGGCCGACGGTCTGAGACCGAGTTGAAACTGGCATTCTAAACTCTTATTGCTAATTAGACATGTCCAAGAAAATCTTTTCCAGAGAAACCCCAAAGAAGTATCACGGTGAAATCAAGCAGAAGCTGAAGGGAGTTCAGAAACTTGTGGTCATGGAAGAGAAGTGGCTACTGCGATGAAAGAGTGACAAAATCGATGTTTGAGGAAGCTATTGAGACTCCATTTTCTGCTCATTACACACCTCCTAAAATGTTGAATTTCTTGCGAATCCTATGAAAGCGAAGGGGAATGAGAGAAACGTAAAGAGCCATTATTATTTTTAGATCTTTAGTGTTACAACATGAAATTTGAATTTATTCTGCTAACGGTCAAAATGTCAGCTCCTCAAATGGATTAGATATACAAGTAAGAGATGTGGGGTCCATTGGAAATTTTTCCTGGACCTGGTTAAGTTTGTGAAAATTTTAACTCCGAAAATTAGTGAATTATATGTAGCTAGGGAACATGACCAGAAATATATGTTTGTTTTTTTGCCAGCGACAAGAAATATATATGTAAAATAATGATATTTGTTAAAATATTAATTAAAGTTGGCAAAAAAAGAATTATGATATCCACACATAATACAAAATCTATATATAATTACATTGCTCACTGGTTATGTTATAATTTTGACGTTAAAAGAAGGCATTCATTTAAAACTAATGTTATCTTTTCCTTTTAACTTAATTTACTTGCTTTTTCAGGCCAGGTCATGCTTTGCCAGCTTAAGTTTATTAAAAGGTGTAATTGACTTCGAATACCAAGCAATAAACATAGGAGAAAAATACATCAGGGTGTTTAAATAAGTTATCATCTTAATCCACCATATGTTTAGAAGAGACTGAAAGAGCAATGTAAAATATTAAGCTCTGCACGGAATCTTTCCACTTTTTAATTTTTTTTATGTAAATTTCAGCTCAAAAAAATATTTTTGTAAATTAATTCTTTTTTATTAGATTTGTAAATTAATTATCGTGATGCATTAAACTGCTAGATCTAGAACCTAAATATTAAACCATCACTTGCTGGTCAAAAAAATATATTAAACCATCAAACTATTTTATTAATTTAACGGAATTAAATATAATATCCATCAATAAAAATTATTTTCAGTTGTTTTCCTATACACTGGTATTTAAACCTAGTAATACAAGCTCATAATAGAGATTCCTTAAAATTATCATCCAGGTCCCAGGGATACAAATTTCGGTCATAAAAACAATTTTGTCACTTAGGACAAATTTAAGCCCCTTGAATTTTACATATAATTTAACTTAAGTGTTTTTTTTTTTTTTTTTGGGTTTATTGTTGACATGGGAAGGCTGAGTCGTTCTATGTAACTTTTCCCAAAGAGTACACGTGATCACGTTATTATTATCTGGGCATCAAACCGAGTAGATCCCGTTTTAACTTTTAACCGTAAGATTTGATGGGGCCACCGTAAAATGTTGTTTTGATGCGCTCCGTATAATGGTTCCGTTTTGATTACAAGACAACTTAAAACAAACATGCGTAAAATGACAAATCAATATTTTAATATTAATATGAAAAAAAACTAAAATAGAACGCACAAACACTTGATAAGACTACAAGTTGAATCAAAACATTCTTCATGCTCGCTTTTTAATACAAAACTTGATTAATTAATTTAAATAGATTAATAATATTATTTAAATTAGTTAATATAATATATTTTTAAAGATTTTTTGAGTATCTTTTTGAATTCGCTTTTTCTTTCTTACTTGGTTATTATTGGAGAACATCAATAGAGTTAATCTAAAAAAAATTGATAAACATATAAAATAAATTTTACATATAAGACTAATATTAACTTTTTAATTAAATCATACATTAAGTACAGGATGAGTATTAAATTCATGATCTCGTATTTAAGAGTATTTGTGCTACCTGTTAAAATATATAGTTGCCCGTAAAACGTATAGTGGTAAGTAACAACATAAAATTTGTAAAATTACTACTTCATCTATGGCCAACATTAACGTTAGAAATTGATATAATTCATCTTTCCAACTTTATACAGGGGATGGTATTCATATAGTTAATATCCAATCAATTTTTAATATAAAATTTATTTAACTGAATTGAATAGGTTAAAAAATCTAAATAAATTATTTTATTATAACAAATTGATATGATCTCCTTAAAAATATTCTTTGGTGCACTATAAAAAATTCCTACACAACAATAAATTATATATCACTTTATAAATTAGATAAATTAATTAAAAAATAATAAATATAACATATAAAATGAATTAACAGAACTACATACATACACGCAAATTGTGTCGCGAGCAATATTACTCCTCCGGTCCTAATTATAAGACCTAATTGACTTATTTGAGGAGATTAAGGAAGTAAGTTAAGTTGGTTATTTATAATAAATAAGTGTTGTCATTCTTAAAATATCCTTGCTAATTAAGTATATTAGCTAAAACTATCATTATTAGAAGGATTATCTTGGAAAAAAATGTATAAATATAAGAGACAAAATGGATTGGGTCTTATAATTAGGACCAAATAAAAAGTCAAATTGGGTTTTATAATAAGGACCGGAGGAGTATAATATTATATGGACAAGGCAGGTAGGCATCAGGTGGGCCAAAATTTTTGCTTACTTTCCTCTCCATCTTTTGGTTTCATGAACATGATTTCTGATTTCTATTATAAACTTGTTTACATTTCAGTAATGATAATCAAACACCGCTTTAAATTTTAAAATCATAATATTCATATTATATACATTGCCATCTTTAATTTGTGCATGATCAAAACAATCTACGCTCACATATTAACATTGTATATGCATAAACATATAAACACGTCATCATCATGTGTCCAAATCATAGATTTGCTTCTAAGAATAAAATAAAATGTGCAGTGTACAAACTTTCCCCGTAAATCATTCGAAACATAAATTAACTATACGCATGTTAGATCGTTAGGTTGTTATTAATCTGGTACGTGTTTCATTAAAGCATGTATAATTATTGTTGTTCCTTGTCAATTACTAAATATTCATGTTTTCCCTCCTTCTAAGAGCAGGCTTTTGAAAAGGCAATATGGTCAACCATGCAGCTTACTGCTGGTGGCTAATTGTTCTCCGCATTTTTATTTATTTATTTTAGTTGGTAATGTTAAAAGTAAGTAGAACGTAATTAAGCTTTAAGCATAATAGTTATGATGAAGAGATCGATTGTGACCCGATTCAGCTTATGCTGCCTTTTTACAAGGAGCTCATGAGCCCGAGCAGCTATCATTACTGGAATATTTTTTTTAAAATTAAAAGATGATAAGTGTGCAAATTTTATAAAAATTGCGCTACACTCCTTCTGGTTTAATAATGACATAAGAAATTATATATGTTTTATTAAAATTCATGCGGGCCACGGGAGCACTTCACTGTGTTTAATAATCATTTTTAATATGTTTGTTCTCACTGGTTATGCAAGTGTCTTTAGTATAACATCCATTTTAAATACAAGGCTTAATTCGTGTTGTGATTTACACTATAAACATCCATTTTAAATATTTTGAAACACACACATTGATGAGTACTTCATCATATGCTGCAATCTTATGCTGGACAATAGAAGAATGTGAGGCTTGATATTTTTTTTTTTTTGGAGGGGGGAGGGGCGGGAACGCTGTGACGGACGCAACTTTTTCCGGGCTTGGGTTAGCCGGGTTTTTGGGCCACCTTATACAGCCCTATTCACAAACATCTCTCTCCATGGTTATAATCAAAATATTGAATTATGGATCAACAGGGTTTGGGTCTAGTAGAAGGGACTAATTTCTCACAAAGTGACTAATCGAGGTTCGAATCTCTGCTGGAAGAGGTGTCCACATTTAGTACCCAACAGTACCTCGAATAGGATTGCCTATAATAGGAGGATACCTATGCTTTAGCAAAAAAAAATTGAATTATGGGAAATACAAATTAAAATAATAAATATACAAATAATCCTCCCAACCTACAAGAGTAGGTCGATAGAGGCAACTGGGTTTTTGTTTTCTTGTTGCTTCATTTATTTTCTCAGCGTAATTCAGTTTTATTTTTAAAAAAAAACCACAGAATTATTATTTTATATATAATCGGAATTCGGAACTAATATTAGTAATAACATGATGACCCAGAAGTACCATTTCTACAATGGTAATCTACATTAGGCGAGTGATATGCTAACACCAAAAAATGACAAAACCATCCTAGATGGAAAATGATTAATGCATGCCATGATGATAAGTGACAAAGATTAATGGAATCCAATAGTCCGATGACCTAGGCAATGAATAACTAATGAAAAACCTAAGACCCAGCTACACTAAACCCAAATGATGAACTCATAACTCAAGCAAAAAGAAGGAAGATGAACGACGAGACAACGAGAAGGGCCGATGTCGTTTTGGCGAAGGGTCCGGCGCTATGAGAAGAAGAAGAAGCAGCTTCCGTGTGTGGAGAATTTTGGTCGTCGTTTTGGTTTTGGTTTTGCGGTGGGGGCGAGTGTGCCTGTACGTCCAAGACCTTGACGACGATCTTCTGGCCTCTGTCACAGTGACCAGAAACACCACTGATGAAGAAGAACAAGCCAGGCCTGTCAAATGTGAACACCGTGTCGCCATTGTTGGAGAAGAACAGAGGACGCGATGCCTTGCATTTGTTGTAGTCTTCCTCGTTCACTTCTATCACCGAGTCTTCACCATACTTGAAACCTACACATCAACGCATTGTCACCGATTTATCCCATACAAATTAATATACTGGTCGAAATTGAAACTGATCTATATATAGATCTGGATCAAGAGTGAAAAGGAATTAGAAGAAAGAAAAATTAAGAGTTACGAAGGGTATCGTGAACGAGGAATCTGTTGTTGGAAGCCCAATTGTTGTAGTAATCGGCAGATTTGGGAATGGTCCAGCCAGTATGGTTGCCGCCGACTGCAAACTCTGTACTGCTCACCATCAACATGTTGCAGCAAAAAACAAAACGCGCACACAAAACAGCTCTTCAGCGTGGCGGCCATTTCTGGAGTAGTTTCTCTGGAGTAGTCTCTGTGATTATGATCCCTCTTGGTGCCGCTAGAAATGAGTGGTTCAAAGTTAGGTTTGAAGGGGGACTTAAAAAGAGACCTGAATTTGAAACCCCCATGATCAGCGAGGAGGTTTGTTAACGATCTT